AACTATTTTCTTGCAGAGTAAGATTAACTATTGTTTTAAATATATAAAAATGATAACTCGTTCGATTTCATTTTTTAACCCTGGATAAAAATATTCTTCTACAAGAAATAAACCTTTTTTTCATATTGATTATGAAACTGACTAAAATAAAAGGTGACGAATAATTAGCGTTACAAATCAATTATAATTTCATATTGTGAAAATATAAGCATCATATTATAGACAAATAATTTGAGGTTTATTTTTATTTTTTTGTAATAATTATTAAAGCAATTTTACACTAAAATAAAACGAACGTAGTATAAAAGAAAATACTAAACAGAATATACAGTGATGAGTCATTTTACATAAACGATGAGAGTATACAAAAAGCTATACATGAATACTTTATGAGTATTTTCAGTAGAGTATGAGTAAAAAGAAGAAATAAAAGAATGTTAATCAAGGTTTTTGAATAGATTATATCGAACTCGGGTCACCCGCGTGGGAGGCGAGCATTCTACCATTGAACCATCAGTGCGCAATTGAGTTTAGTACACCTGTATGAGTTTTTATGTCAGGACTCATAAAGTCATTGTTTTAATTAATATCTTCAGTATCAGCGTACTTTATAAAGTATATTTTTTCAAATATTCTTAAAGTTTTGAATAACTGGCAAAAACAAAAAGTGATCGAGACATGATGATGCAATTTTGCTTGCAAGTCTATGCGAAGAGAATAAGAAAGCGTAAAATAAAAGAAATAACTGCTTGCGAATATGCTTTCCTTGACAATATTTTACTTATGAAAATTTCTACATGATTATAGAACAATGAGTACTCATTTTCAACGACTTTCTGAAAGCATATACTAGTTAACTGTCACATTGTGTATTAATAATCTAAAAACACATTAGAGCATCTGGCGCAATTTTTTAGCGCGAATAATATCTCTCAATAGAACTGCATTTTTTGGAAGAGAACGCCTCTAATGAATGCACTGATTTCTGGATACCTTGCTACTAGTATGTCACAGAAACCTTTGAGTGCTTCACATTTCTCTTAGACTAGGAGTTATTAAAACTTTATGGCAGAAACAATGAAACGCTTATGCCTCACAAATTATTCCGAAAAAAAGAAGTTTAAATTTCTTACGTGATCAGCATTCTGTAATCGTAATAATCACATAAATTTAAAAGTTCCTAGGCTATCATGATCGAACAATGATAGTCAAACAATTAAAATGTGAAGTATGTATTCATTGAAAACAGTACTTGATGCTATTTTTTCTTTTTATAGTGTACAATCTATGGAGAAGATGCTTGTGATTTTATAAATTTTTCTAATCATCATATTTACTAGACCCATAATTCAAACTTATTATTAGAAGTAAAGCGAAAATGAATGATTAAATTTCAATTATGCTAAAAAACAAGCAAATCTTTTTTCTTGTATATTAAGCAGTGAGATTTTATTATCGTAGCGTTTTAGTGAATAAATGGGACGTACCTATTTTTCATTTGGTTTCGATTTTTTACAAGGCTTTTTTTCAGAATAAATTCTTTTAGCATATATATATATACATAAATGTTGACTGTTTCAGGTGATTATTAGTACTTTAGGATAGACTCTTCAACACAACCGCATCTATAGTAAACTTTTTAGTACGATCGAACTCCAGACAACTTCCTCTTGAAAATCCAGTTCTCTAGAAATCCTATCAAGTTCTGAAGCAAAGATTTTTCCTTTAGGACTATCTAGTGATTCTGAAGAAAAATGTCTACCGTTCGGAATTGATTCTAAACTTCTCATACATTTATAAAGGCATTTATTCGTACTCAATGACATGACTAACGAATGGTTTTTTCCTCAAATAGTTTATTAAGTGATGTTATTTATTTAAGAATTGTTGATAAAACTTTCTACTAGAACCTCAGTGTTCTTAATCCTTCGGATAAATATATGATAAAGATTAGAAGGGATTAGGACCAAGCACTGGTGGTTCAGTGGTAGAATGCTCGCCTGCCACGCGGGCGACCCGGGTCCGATTCCCGGCCAGTGCATTTTTTTGTTTTCTCTTTTTCTAACTTGTAATGTCATTGATTAATCGTAAAGCTAATTTATAATGTGCTCTTTATCGAAAACATTGTTCACAGCAGCTCTTGATTTTATTTTCTCATTTTTTTAAGCACATTAAATATTTTTTGTTCATTTAACTTAATCAACAAGCATTTCCTATTCCTAATTAGACAGAGATAGTTCAATTGTTAAACCAATTTTCATTTTCCTTAAATAGACATTTACGAAACTTTTTATCATTCAATACCTCTATTCATATATATGGCTCATTTCTTCCTCTGTTATATAATTACATAAAAAACAGGTACAATAAACGCTACCGCTCTTCTCGTGCTCGGCATGTCTCATTTAAATTTATTTTTTGTTTCGCAATTTATTGTGAAATATATCAACGAACATCATTATCAGTATTAGGAGAGAATTTTTTGTTGTTATATATATATATATACCTGTTTTTTGACTTACTTAAGAACAAATAGTATGTTGATTTTAAAGTAATGTCAAAAGTACAATTTGAGTATGTTGATAACCAGCACTGGTGGTTCAGTGGTAGAATGCTCGCCTGCCACGCGGGCGACCCGGGTCCGATTCCCGGCTAGTGCAATGTTTTTTTTCGCCTCACAATACATATTTCGTTTTGCTTCACAGGGTATACACGAAACGCAGTGTCACACTGGTTTTTTTCTCATTTTATAACGTTAGAAATTAAGATGATCATAAAAACTGAACAAAAATAGAAAATTTAGGTAAACATTATTTGAATTTAATTAACGATCTGATTGTAATTAATTAGTTGTGTAAACATTGCTCCTGTTCTGATTTCGTATTGAATTATTCTTTACTGCTTTTTTAAAAAGAATCTTATAATAGATTGGTTAATGTACGTTTCAAACTAGTCGAATCGAAATCTACCTCTATTCTTTGACATGTTCAATATCTTGATTTTTCAATGATATAAAACATAACTTTCGACATCAGATGTTTATTTCACAGCAGATAATCCTAAATTTCGAACAAAAATTAGTTGATAAGATCTTTCAAATTATGACTTCAGTCTTTGCACAGAGATAGTCCTCAAAAAGAATAATTTTTTATGAATGTTTCAAATAAGATCTACCTCTGGATAAATTTTCAGGTCAAAAATCAGTTTTCCTCGTGTTATTTACGGGGGTTGCAGCATTCATTTGATGACTACTGTGAAGTTTCAATATTCGCGTAACAAATGAGCTAATTACCTGAACTCTTCCCACATATTAAAAAATTCTTTCGGTCTACATGATGCACTTAGTCTTGATCTAAACGCAATTAATCAGTTGGAAGATTTCCTTCATAGCAAAAATTTCTAACCATTACCTTAGTGTCCTGTACGGATGCGACTTTTTGCCATCGGATGCGGATCGAAGCTAATTGATGTCCGATAGATTATATAGTCAGCTACTTCATCACATAATTTATCCTCATCTCTAGGTGAATTTCGATTAAAAACGAATTGTTTTTGCGTTCCGCTTCTGTAACCTGTTCTCAAATACAATAAATTCCTCAGGATTTCACTCATATGCTTTCATATAAAGTAGCAGTCTGAAAAAGTAATAATATTCTGAAACATCAAGATATCATTAATTAGCAAGTTAGATGCTGAATATCCTTTTCTGCACATCTTCACTTCAATCCATATTTCAATAGATTGATACAGTCAAGATAAGCAATCATTGCTAGCATGTTGTACATAATCTGCATTCGACTTTTGAACAACCGGTGGCGCATAATAAACGAGACACAACTTTTAAAAATTACAAAGATGAGCACCACCTCTATTCTCTTGCTGCGATATACGATTTTATGAAGACATCTTTCGAGTTGTGCAGACTGTTGCTCATCAGTACAAAAGCTAAGTGTAAAATATTTGACATCAATAGATAGAGAATTCCGTGTTCTCTGCTGCTGTTGTTCAAAAGAAAAAGGCTTTGAGACACATCCTGGAGAACTAGATTTTCCAAAGAGAAATTTAATCTTTGACACGTTTGGTCTCATGCCATAAGTTGAAGGATTTAGTCGTGAACAAAATAGTATGATTGTTAAATTGAAGAGTAAGAATATTAGAAAAAAGAGTAATGATATAATTTCATCAGAAACTATTTTTTCAGTTCAAAAATTTTTGTTCACATATATTTCTTCTTAAGTTCTGGAACATGCATAAAAAAGTACAGAACTTTCTGTAGAACTTGATAGCATATTTGAATATTCAGCGAAATCTTTTACGAAAAATGAATCGTATTCGAATCGTCGTAGTTAGACGATTGAATAAATATTGATCTTTTAAATTTTGAAACGACCGAAGAAAAAATTATCAGATAAAGAAAGAGTCTATTTTTGTCGAGCAGAGAATTCTCTAACGAATGAGATTAAAAACGAAGTCTCTAATGTATTCGGAAGTGTCCCAGAACAAGGAAAACGCTTTGTCTTATTTATTATGCACCATCCGTTCATACTTGAGAAAAGTTTTTTAGTATCCAGACTTGTCCAGCTTTGAAAAAATCCCGATCAATTTCAGACATGCACCCGTTATTTCTTCTATCCTATCAATTAATTAATAATAATGAAAAACATTCATCTACAGAAGTTTCTTTTTATACACACTTATTTTATTTAATAGCAAAAAAAATCGGTTTTATCGCTTTTATAAGCACATGGTTATTTGAGGAAAAAAAGGTAAACAAGAAAGCGCATGACAAGACAAAAAAAATATATAGAAGATATGACTTAACATACAAATTTATTAAAATATATATTTATGCATATATCTTTATCGTATTTCTTTAGGCATCATATTCGTATACATTAGCATTATCTGCTGATCGTTTCATATATTCACGTTCGAGTTTTAACAAGTGATGTCTAAATAAGAAAGAAGATAAGAAATTAAAATTATTATTGGAAATTTATTCATACAGATATTGGAAATTTTAATTGAGCATGTGCAAGTGTTTTACGAGTTTTCATTATTCGTACAACAGCAGCATCAATTTGATAATGACGATCTTGTACAACACGTTCTGTTGTTGATGTATTTTCTTCAGCCTAAAAAAGAGAAAACAATATTTCTTTTGAAAAAAAAAAGCTGAATATTTTTCTACGAACTGTTTCTTTCAATTGTACTTGATTTATTTTTATACGAATTAATTTATGATCAAACGATGTATTGAATGTAAATCGATCGGTTATATTCATATGTTTACTCTAAATAAAAAAAGCAAAAGTTGATCAAAATACTATTTCTTTATATAAGCTGTTTATTTGTACTTGCAAATTTTTGTTGAACTAATGTACTTCGGTCATATGAGATTTTTATTCATATAATTCTTTTCTGTGTACATCGAGGTGTTGATAGACAGTATCGAGGCCTAGTCAAGAAGAGAAAAGAGAAAGTAAAATACAATATGCAACGTGATAGACTGCCCTGGTGATCTATATATTTGTTTTTTTTATCGAATAGTGCCCATCGTTTCATGAATCGCTCATCTCCGAAATAGTTATCTCGATATCGCAAGGAGAGAAAAAGATAGAAAGAATAGAATTAGGCTCTCTATAAAAGGCAAAGAAAATCGATAAAATAGCCATTATTTAAAATGCTCGACTCTAATCCGGTAAGTGTTTCATTGATTTTTTTATTTCTTCCTTGCTAGACGATAGATGACGGGCATAGTTGATAGTAACAGCCATTGACAGAGACAGCTGAACCTCTAGACAATATTTAATTGGAAGATAGGTAGAAGGAAAACAGAAAAGACTGTTCATAAGAAGAGAAGACGTGAGAAGTGAGAAACAAAGATGGCAATAAACGAGCATGAAGTAATTGAGTTTCTTACTGCATTTTTTGTTTAACAAAAAAAAATAACAATGTTTTCTTTTAGTTGATTCGTGATCCAAATGCACCGGTTACTCAACATGAGCTGAAAGACGCCCTGGATCCGGTTAAAACTGATCTCGCGTCGGTTAAAGCCGACCTTGCGTCGGTTAAAACCGACATCCAGGGGATTTCCACCAAGCTTGACTTGTTGCTCTCTCAGAGCAAGAAGTAATAGCTCACCGCTTTCTTTAGGCGCTGTATTCTTTAAGTGGATATTCCACCAGGAATACCTGCTTAAGGAATACACCTATGCGGATCCGACTAGTTATGTCGGAATCCGCTTTTTATAGCGGTGAGCTAATGGCAGGTGGAAAAAATAAAAGCAATGACCACATGAAACACATGGAAGCAAATCCTCCCATGTCTTAAAAACCTGGCCAAAACCGGCGGTTTACCGCGATTTTACGGGTCCGGTTACCGGCTCCCATTACATAGAATTTACCGCGGTAAACCGGCGGTTTTAACGAATAACGCGGTTTACCACTAATATAATTCAGTTAACCGGATCACCGATGATCTTTCAAAATTTATTGCTCCAGATCATCGATTGGACCATTTTAAGCATCTTTTTTAAACTGGTCGATATTATAGAAATTTTCAAAAACAATACCGGCGGTTTACCGCGGTTTTACCGATCAAGTTACCGGCTCCCATACAAAGGCTAATGCGGTAAACGGCGGTTTACCGCTAAAATTGATCTGGTATTCACAACATGGGCTGTTTTATTGATTTGCCTTCAAAAAAGTCATTGCGACAGTTTCATAAAAAAATTATTTAGTTTAATGTGCCGATGAAAAACATATTGGTCCAATGGTAGAATGGTTGCCTTCCACGCGGGCGACCTGGGTCCGATTACCGGGTACTGCAATTTCATTTTTGCTTCACAATACATATTTCGTTTCGCTCCACAGGGTATACACAAAACACGGTGTCACACTGTGCTTTTTTATCATCTATAACGTTAGAAATTAAGATGATTATAAAAATTGAACAAAAATAGAAAATTTAGGTGAAAACTTTCCAATTTTTCTAACGATCTGATTGTGATTAATTAGTTGTCGAAACATTGTCCTTGTTGTGATTTCGTGTTGTATTATTCTTTACTGCTTTTTTAAAAATAAACTTATAATAGATTGTTTAATGTACGTTTCAAACTAGTCGAATCGAAATCTACCTCTATTCTTTGACACGTTCAATATCTTGATTTTTCAATGATATAAAACATATGTTCGACATCAAATGTTTATTGCACAGCAGATAATCCTAAATTTCGAACGAAAATTAGTTGATAAGATCTTTCAAATTATGACTTCAGATTTGCCACAGAGATAGTCCTCAACAAGAATAATTTCTTATGAATATTTCACACAAGATCTACCTCTGCACAAATTTTCAAGTCAAAAATCAGTTTTCCTCGTGTTATTTACGGAGGCTGCAGCATTCATTTGATGATTACTGTGAAGTTTCAATATTCGCGTAACAATGAGATAATTACTTGAACTCTTCCCACATATTAAAAAATTCTTTCGGTCCACATGATGCACTTAGTCTTGATCTAAACGCAATTAATCAGTTGGAAGATTTCTTTCATAACAAAAATTTCTAACTATTACTCTAGTGTCCTGCACGGATATGACCTTTTGCTACCGGATCCGGATCGAAGCTAATTGACGTCCGGTAGATTATGTAATCAGTTACTTCATCACATGATTCATCATCATCTCTAGGTGGATTTCGATTAAAAACGAATTGTTTTTGCTTTTCACTTCTGTAACCTGTTCTCAAATACAATAAATTGCTCAGGATTTCACGCATATGCTTTCTTTTAAAATAGCAGTCTGAAAAAGTAATTATATTCTGAAACGTCAAGATATCATTAATTAGCAAGTTAGACGTTGAATATCCTATTCTGCACCTAGCTACCATTGCTAACATGTTGTATATGATGTATATTGGACTTTTGAACAACAGGTGGCACATAATAAACGAGACACAACTTTTTAAAATTAAAAACATGAGCACTTTCTTTATTGTCTTGCTGCGATATTCGATTTTATAAAGACATCTTTCGATTTGTGCAGACTGTTGCTCATCAGTACTGACGCTAAAGGTAAAATATTTGACATCATTAGTTAGGAAATTCTGTGTTCTCTGCTGCTGTTGTTCAAAAGAAAAAGGCTTTGAGACACATAATAGAAAACTAGATTTTCCAAAGCGAAATTTGATCTTTGCCACGTTTGTTCTTGTGTTATCAGTTGAAGCATTTAGTCACGAACAAAATAGTATGATTGTTAAATTGAAGAGTAAGAATATTAGAAAAAAGAGTAATGATATAATTTCACCAGGAACAATTTTTTTCAGTTCAAAAAATTTTTCTCACATATTTTTCTTCTTAAGTTCCGGAACATGCATCAAAAAGTACAGAACTTTCTGTAAAATTTTATAGGATATTTGAAAATTCAGCGAAACCTTTTACGAAAATTTTGTTGTATTCTAATCGTCGTAGTTAGACTATTAACTAAGTATTTATCTTTTAGATTTTGAAACGATCGAAAAAATATTATTTGGTAAAGAGCAAGGCTACTTTTGTTGAGCAGAGAATTCTCTACCGAATGAGATTAAAAACGAAGTCTCTAATGTATTCGAAAGTGTTCCAGAACAAGAAAAACATTTTGTCTCATTTATTACGCACCATCCGTTCATACTTGAGAAAATTTTTTTAGTATCCAGACTTGTCCAGCTTTGAAAAAATCCCGATCAATTTCAGACATACACACGTTATTTCTTCTATCCTATTAATTAATTAATAATAATGAAAAACATTCATCTACAGAAGTTTCTTTTTATACACACCCATTTTATTTAATAGCAAAAAAAAATCGGTTCATCGCTTTTATAAGCACATGGTTATTTAAGAAAAAAAAAGAGGTAAACAAAAAAGCGCATGACAAGACAAAAAAAAATATATAGAAGATATGACTTAACATACAAATTTAATAAAATATATATTTATGCATATATCTTTATCGTATTTTATTAGGCAACATATTCGTATACATTAGCATTATCTGCTGATCGTTTCATATATTCACGTTCGAGTAAACTTTCAATTCGTGTTTTAACAAGTGATGTCTAAATAAGAAAGAAGATAAGAAATTAAAATTATTATTCGAAATTTATTCATACAGATATTGGAAATTTTAATTGAGCAAAAACTTCAGATATTAATTGAGCATGTGCAAGTGTTTTACGAGTTTTCATTATTCGTACAACAGCAGCATCAATTTGATAATGACGATCTTGTACAACACATTCTGTTGTTGATGTATTTTCTTCAGGCTAAAAAAGAGAAAACAATATTACTTTTAAAAAAAAACTGAATATTTTTCTACGAACTGTTTCTTTCAATTGTACTTGATTTATTTTTATACGAATTAATTTATGATCAAACGACGTATTTAATGTAAATCGATCAGTTGTATTAATATCTTTACTCTTAATAAAAAAAACAAAAGATGATCAAAATAAAGAAACTAACGTTCTTTACCAATGGTTTTTTATTTAATAAACGAATTTTTCCACATGCTAATGATTGTAAAGTTCGTTGTAATTCTGCTTCTTCTAAAAACAAATATTTGTTGCGAATAAAATAATGAAAAAAAAACAAATGAATACGAACGAATTTTCGTATGTTCTTGAATATCTTTATAACTAAGATCAATATGTTGATTAAAAAGAAGAAGAACAAATGCTTGATAAAGTGATACTTGAAATTCTTTAACTGTCTAAAAGAAAAAGATTTTTTAAAATTTTCATTTGAATTTTTTTGAAAACAATCAAACCTTCTCTTTTAAGCATCCTTTTAATAAACAATGATCTAATGAATATTGCCATTGAAGTTTTCTTCCTGTATGTTTACTTAAATAAAATTTCGTAAATATTTCTTGTGATTGACAAATCTTAAATGAATATTTATTAGAAAAATAAATGCAAAAATAAATAAATGATTTACTTCAGGTGGTAGAATAGCACTAACTGGTTGATATGTTGGCCAAAAACCCATTGTTAATACAGAAACAAACATACTTATATTTCCAGGAACTTCACGATTATGCATATGCTAAAAGAAAATTTAATTAGGAAGAATCCCACTGCCTTTCAGTATAAGATACTGCCTAGAAATATATTCAATAGACCGATATCTTTTCTATAGGTAAGACTAGCTAAGATATGAGCTTTCTCTTCAACTACACCAGTAGGAGCACACACATCCTTCAGGACCAGCATATCTATTGATAAGCAAAATTCCTGTAAAATGGTCATGGCCTTTAATCGAAAACACGACAAACACTGAACAATCAGACTGAATAGAAAAACTATCTCCTATCCGGCAGCATTGATGTTTACGAAAGCCTTGGAAAAAGCGTCAAGACAATTTTTGTCGCTAAGTGCATTAGTATGCTCGTGATTTGATAATAAATTGATGATTTATTTCTATTTGAGGACGGACTATAAATTAATAGGAAATCTTATAATTTTTTTCGAACATTCAAATTCATTGGATTTATTAACTTTGCAATGGTTTGTGTTGTCATTGCGCAGCATTGAAAAAAGACATCTATCTTTTTTCGATATTCAATTAAAGTTTGTTTCAAACATATCAATATTATCATTTTGAATTGCATAATGAATAACTGTTAAATCATTATGAAGACCACGTTTCACATGGACTTAGTTAACAAAAAAATGTATATAAACATATGATCTTTCTTTTTGTCTTTTTATAGAACGAACATGATCAATATCATCAATTAAGACTTTTAATAATTTTGAACGATTTAATCAGCATAACTCGAATAGCTAATTTACTTTAAACAATGAAAGAAATAAAAGGCACAGATAAACTAAATACATAGTAATCGTTTGATTATGCAGAATATTATTGCAAAAATGATGCTTACTTATCTTCGAAAGATGAATTTTTTTGATATTTAGTTATTGCTGAAATTTGTACTTAAAATAATTCTGCTTTTTTTGTTGTAGGAGGTTTTGGTGCTGGAAAATTATACTGTTTAATTATTAATATATAAAAAGTATAAGCCTGTTTTTTTTGTTTGCTTTTTACCTTCTGACACTTCGAATGATATATTTTGTTCGTCGTCATTTTTGTACAACTAAATGAAGAAACAGATAACATTTTTATTAAACTGAATTAAGATCAATGTTTTAGGCAGCTTAGGCGTAGTGTTTCTCCTGAGATCAGATTGATGCTCCTAGAATTTATAATTATTGAATCACGTACTATGTGTAGAGATATGCGAAATTAGAGACCAAAATCGAATCGAATTAATCAGCAATTTGATTCGATTCAACTCAGGTGGATTGAATCCTATCGAATGAGACTTTTTAAAAATGAGTCGAGTCGAATTGAATCCTGACTTTCTGAAGAAGTCGGATCGATTCAAATTGATTGTAACTCTCTTTATTCAACCCAACGGCAATCCCTTCATTACGTGTCAAACATGAGCAATAAAGTTTACCTCAGTGTAGAGCTCATGTTGACTGTATCTTTTTGCTTTTGGAAATTGTATCAATCTCTGTGTGTGAGAAGTCTGCTAGGTTAATTATTGTTGTTATTTTATTAAACCAAGTCAGTATCTATTGATTTATTCTAAGATAGATAATTTTAGAGGAAGCAGATCCATGTACGGCTACTTCAATGACTACTTCTGTGTTCACATATATCCAGTAGGGCTTAGTAGTTTTATGCAATATTGAGAGCTATCAATGCTTTGCACCCTTTTAGTCGACATACGTATAGATTTTTATTATTGGTGTGCCACATATCCTGATTCTTTAATTGATATAGCAGTTAAAAACTTCACTGAAAAACCAAATATCGTCGTTTTCTAAATCAAAAGTTGTGGCACTTAATCCAACCATGTTTAAGGATCACTAACTTGAGCAAAGATCTAAGATTCAGATAGACTTCAACTGAAATTAGAACTTTGTGCACGCCTTTCCCTAATACCTGTGTCTCTCTCCAGACAGGCGATACCTACAACAGCGTTAATTATGCAAATTTAGAAACTACTAGCTTCGCCAATCGATATGAAAAGAAGATTTCATTTTATAAAACTCAGGTCATAATATGTACCGTAGCTTCTCTCTGAAGCTTTCAAGTTTTTTTAAATCGATAAATTGAGCATAAAGACACACGAAAACTTAAGCAAAGTTTGATAGGGATGTGGATACATTGTACTCATGACAATAAAGAAATTCTCTTTTTTTTTGGTATGATCTGAATCGAATCGAATAGGAATTTTTTTATTCGTTCCGGTCTCTGACACATAATATAGTGTTCGAAAAATCAGCACGTAACACAGTGAATGCCTGACTGCTGAACAGCTCAAAAAATACGCATGAGCTCGCTATAATTCCTAAAAGGTGTGGGTAGTGTGAATTTGTGGGCATAGACATGAGTGTGGGTATGTGTGTTGAACTAAACAGGATATGAGCATTCGCGCTCACATTCAAACCTCACTCATACTCACACGCACCTACACCCTGAATTTGTATTTTCATCAAATTTTACTCTTTTTGAAAAGCCATCTACCAATTAAGGAATATTCTAGCAAATGTGAATAATTTGATGAAATATTAGGACTTCACATATCTTCAAATCAACCTATATAAAAGTTTGTTTAAAGTTACTTCAATAGAGTTTTCTCTGGTCTTTAATCGTATATCTCTAATAATTCTCAGAATAGCTTAATTCGTAATCCAAAACCGTAGCACATTTTCTAGCTTCTATAATTTTTGGCTTTTATGATATTTTGAATTGTTCGATACTGCTCTTCAGGGCAAAATCGACCAACTGTATAACTTTCTTAGAGACTGTGTGCCATGATGCTCTATTACTATACCAATTTATTACCGTCTAGCTTGAGGTGGGTCATAATAAAATCGGCTCACGAATGCCTAGAAAAAAGTCAATTTTTCGAGTCCTACGGACAGAAGACTATATCAGCTTTTCTATGAAAACTTTCTCAGCGGAAAATGTCTATCTATTAATAATACGTTGATCATGCCCTATTATTTTATATGCTTGAATCTTTGAAAAATGGCAAACCAATTTTTCACTTTTTGATCCTGACGTGCGTGAGTATTGGTCTTATGTCGACACACCTACACAGTCGCACCCTTTTCTTTGCAATAAACGAAGCTCCATTGTTGATCTTTGTTTAGCTTTAATATGAATGATTTTCTTTGGCAGCCGATTAAGTATTAATTATTGACTGTGAATAAAATTAGCTCAATCTTATACACGTCAACGAAACTTTTTTTTTATTACTCTCGAATTCGTGATTTTCTGATATAAACTGATATGCTCTAATTCAAATTCGGACCTAACTTTGAGATTGATTCAATAAATTTCTTTGCTAGTGACTGTTTTCTGACGAGACTGGCAAAACTGAGCATGCTTCTAGACTATTATAATTCGTTGATGAAATGAATTGTGTTGTTACGTCGCATTCCAATATTTTAGTTTTACTTACACAGCTTAGTGTCCTCAGTTCATGTACAAAAATTACTATATTATCGAATCAAAGTTCATTCAAGCCTCAGAAAAATTGAAGATACTAGTTTGCGTGAGCTATGTTTCACGAAGAACTTTTTCGAAGTTTATTAGACGCAAAATGAAAACTCTAGATAAATAGAAGTTTGTAGAAAATTGGAGAGCGTGTCTTTTAAAGAAGAACTCAAGAGGATATGATTTATCTATGAAAAATGATCTGTACAATAAATAATGCTGCTAATATTTTAGGACATTCGATATGATTTCGTATCACCAAAGATCAAGATCGAAGTCTATTAGATGCAATATCGATCATCTTATTAACATTATTTTTTCAATATAGGTGTACAAATAGATTTGACTGTAGTACACAGAAATCATGCACAAAACAGTATAGTAACAACGAAATAATTTGAAGTTTGATATGACAGAGTTAGTGACAAAGAATAATTATTTTAGCTATTAGAAAAATAGAAGAGCCACTAGATAATGATAGTCGTAAAACTTTCGAGTACCAGTATTCCTTTGATGCGTCATGTACAGGTTGATTATATTATTTTTGATAGTTTTGTTCACTTTGTCCTATTTATATGAAGCCTCAGATATTTCTTATTGTGATTTGGGTGAATAGCGCATGAACTACTCTATTGAACTATATAGTTTTTGTTTTATTTTTTTAGCACCTAGTCGAAAAATTGTATACATTTTAAAAAGCATTCAAAACAGATTTTTTTTTACCGGACAAATTTTAGACGATTTTTCAGTCAATTTTATTTAACTTTTGCCATTTTCTGGGGCACTGGAGCTTCGTATTTATATATAGAGTAATAGACTGTTCTTTTCTCTAAGGAACTATATATTTTTCATTGAGCTCATTCTTTGTTCTTACTATAAACTTTGGCAATTTTCTTCGGAGTACAGATACTTCTTAGTGGTGTTCAATTTGTAGTATTCAAATTAAGCTTGAGAAGTTTTTCCTTTTGATATTGCTGAAAAGAAGACCATCACTTATTCTATTGCACTAAATAGTTTTCATTTTGTTGACTTTCAATTTTATCCAAAAATTGAATACATTTGCTAAAGCACTCAAAGCATAGTTTTTATTCAACAATTTTAAGGCCATTTCTCAAATAATCTTTTCTACTATCCACGAAGGTACCGAAATTTTTTATTTTTATATCGAATAATAGACCGTTCTTTTCTCTACGTAGCTATATATTTTTCATTGAACTTATTCATTATCTTTAAGAAAATTACCTTGGTGATCTTCTGAGAAATATTTTTCGTGAAACTTTTTTCATAGATGACTTTTGGCTTTTCTTCGAAGAAAAATTTGGTTGTTTAAATATTTAAACTTTGTTTTTATATGTAGCTCAGTATATCGTTGATTTCTCTATCGATTTACACCATTGTAATCAAATTTTATGTTCGGCCTTACAAGTAGATTTCTGTAAAAAAGAATATAAACTTGTTTTTTTCTAAATTCAAAAGCTAGTCAAATTTTGTTAGTAAAATCCAATTTTTTTCTCAACGTTGAATCAGTGTTGTCTAATATTTTCTGCACGTTTAAGCAGGGCTGTAGAACCTACCTCGTAAGCTGCAGCGGCGTTGTCGTGAAAAATGTCTCTTTTGAGGATATTTTAAAACAGGAGAGGATGAGAGAAAACTTTGGAAAAGTGGAAAATGTAATAAACCTGTCATTGAGGATTCATGCTCAAAAAAGATACAATTTTTGTATAAGCAACATTTATAAAGAAAAATTGAAAACATAGACTAAAGACTGCTTAGAATAGATACACTTAATGTCCAGCATTACTTAATAGAGTTTTATAACTATTTAAAATTTAATGAAAACTACTTAATATTTATTGAAATTGTTTTTTTCTTGTGTTATTTTTCATCGGAATGTGCATCGAGTTGAGAGCAGCACTTGGAAAACTTGAGGTACTATTTAATAGTTGTTTTTAGCTATTTGACAAAAACTCAGCGTCTTATTTGTTTTAACTGTCTTTTTTTCGAGCAAGGGAGTGAAAGAAAAAAAAAGAAGAATTTTAATACTTTGAACCTAAATAAAAGCCTGTTGCGTTCTAAACGTTATTGCGACAATTCAAATATAAGAATAGTTATTTATAAAACTTGATAGCTATTCAAGAAATTATACAGCTATTAAATGATTTAAGTATCTAATCTGCATGTAACGACTTTTTATTTAATGAACGAATTCAACTAACTACTTATTTAAAAGCTGACCCTCTTTATATACTATCGTAAAAGAAATTGATACCTATTTAGAAAAAATATCTCTTTTGAAAAGCTACACATCTACAGTAAACGGATGTTATTTTTTTTTGGATATTATATATCTCGAGAAAGACATGTTCATTTTTTTTGAAAACTTCACGTCTATTTAATAACCATGAAATGTGCCCATAAGTAAAAATTTGAGGTCAAAACTATTTTCTTGTGGGTTTCTCGGCAATGTTTCGCTCAAAATAAAAATCTCATTATAAAACACCCACTAACCAGAATTCTGATATGCTCTTCTTGGTATCATCGAGACCTAATCGTACTCATAATATGTAGTCGAAAAGCATCCGACAGCTGTATATTTTTCCTAACTACACATTCCGTATGTCAAACAAAATACACTGGTTTGTAGAACGTATCTATGAACAAAATGCCGCTTGAAAATCTTATAATTCAAATTTTCCATGAACTTCTATCGCACCATAGATTTACGAGAAATTTAAGTTATCCTAATCTAACTGTTCTTTTAATCCCTGTAGTCAGATTACTGGTTTTAGTTCATTTCGCCCCTTAAGTCTTTCCACTCGCTTTACCCGTTTTAGTGTTTTTAGATTAAAGTGGAGTAAAAAGCCTAAAACGACTAAAGAAATAAAAATTATTTATAAGTATAAAGAAAAAAATAGACCGGAATAAGTTTGATTTCTTGTATACCTGTCCTTCAAACATCAGCAAAGAAGCTATAAAATGTTTTACTTATTAAAACATTTTTGCAAATTCTTTATTTGATATTAAATAATTTCTAATTTTTTTATTAAAATTTTCTTTTAAAAAATTAAGACTTTTTTTCAAAATGAATACTCGAGTTGTATAAATCAACTCATAACAGAAGCTTTAATTTAAATGCAAAGATTTGTATTTATAAAAATAATTTTAACATATCACGGCTTTTTTTCTATAGTTAAAATGTTTAACTTGTTGGAATAATTCTTTTCTTTTTCTTGTATTCATATATTAAATTGATTTCATTCTTCAAACAAAAAAAAAACAAATTTATTATTTCAAATTTGATTGATAAGAAAATTTTCGAAAACACAAATTCAATTTGATACAAAAAAAAGATAAAATTTCTTCCTATCAATAATAAATTTCCTAAAAACTAAAACAAATTTTTATTTCTGATTATAACAATAAACCTGATTTATAACTTAAGGCTTTTTTTTATTGGTCGTCATTAATGATAAGTTTGACCAAAATAGCAAAGAAAATATTGCGATATCAATGTGCAACCATGGTGAAACGATAAAAAAAATATTTTCTCTCCTTTTTTTTAATAATTTCTTCATCTAGACGTTACATGTCATGTCGTTTTAGTGACACAGATTTTTTCTTTTTTTGGTGACATGCGGAGTATTGATATTTAGCAAGAAAGAAAAAAAAACGACAACACAAGGAGAAAACGGAAGAACGATGAGTTTGGTCATGTATAATCAATTTCTGAAAGAATGAAAGGAAAAAAAAGAAAGAAAGAAAGAAAAACAAAAAAAAAACTCGTTTTTTGTGATAGTAGTAAAATTATTGTTGGTATTTTATATTTTTGTCAATAGCGTTTAAAAATAGTTGATTGTTGATCAACACTATATATACATGTCTAGCAAAAAAAGCCTATGACATAAAATCAAGACGATTTTCATCAATATTTAACATAAAGCTTAAAAGAAAAAAAAAAGAATTTGTAAATATTCTTTCTTATTTTAATTTTATATTCCATGTGTTGTTTGTTTTTTGTTCTTTCTTTCATTCTCAATTTTTTTTATGTAATTCTTATTTTATTGTCACATATATAATACAACACATGAGTTACTCGTTCTCACTTTTCTCATCGTCTGTGAGACAATCAAAAGAGAGAAAAGCAAAAAAAGAAAAAAAAAAAACGAAGAAACTAGTGCACACATTACACACGTGAAAGTTCTCCTTCTTCCGACACATACATACATACACACACACAATCACTTTCTTCTCCTTTCCTCGTATCTATTTTTTTTTTGTTTGACACGCACACTGTTTCGTGGCTTTTGTGTATGTGTGTGTCGACGTCTTTTTTTTTCTCTCTCGATTCTCGAGCGCACATACACACACAAACACACACATAAGCAAGTCGTCATTTGTATTTTTATGCCCTCTTTTCTCTCTCCTCATTGCTTGTTGGCGTCGTCTCGCGTTTTTCTTTTTCTTGTGTATGCGTGGTCCTGTGCGCACGTTCTTCTTCTCCTTTTTTCTCTTTTCTTTTTCTTCTACAATGCCAACATCATGAGCGCCGCCCGACCGATCGACAGTCGACAACTACATGCTTTGCGCAGCTGAAAGAATCGAATGGCAGCAGTGGCAACAGCAGCAAAACTAGAAACAACAACGACAGCAGCAAATTTTCATTCAATCTTCAATAGAATTTAGTTTCATTACTTTCTGTTTTTTGTGTGTCCGTGGGGTGTGTATATTTTTTCTTTCATATTACTTACCCGGCTTCATCTATTCATCCATCATTATTATTATTATTATCATTCAATATCTTTCTGAAAAGAAAGAAAATTTATTTGAAATAATATTTATACCAATGATGAATATTGAAACTTTGCTACAAGCAGCACAAATATTAGAAAGTCAACAATCAATCCCACCTAAAAAACGATTAGCTAGAGGTGAGTAGAACTTGTGTTGTTTCGTTTTGTGTGTCGCTATATAATAGGAATGGAAGATATACATATATGCTTAATGATTGAATCATGCACGTGGCAAACAATCAATTCATGTAAACATATATAGAGATAAAAGAAAAAAAAAAGGAACAGATAGAAAATATTCAATATACATATAAAACTAGATTGTACTTAAAAAAAGATTTCTTTTTTTCATGAATAAAATTTTTGTCCTTGTTTTTTTGTTAAATTTAATCATGAGTAGTTATATGTTTTCGTGATTATGCACTTGATCGATTGTATGATAATGTTTGCAGGCAGTTTTCGATCGTATACGTTGTCATTATCAACCTATGATAGTAGTAATAGCTAGAAGCAGGCAAGATTCGCTCATGTGTGACCTACGTCGATATGAATATCCAATACAGTCTTTTTTCTTCTCCTTTTATCGTCGATTACTCCCGTTGTTAATAATAAGACAAGGACAAATTTTGTCTTCTTTTATGTTATATAGAAAGTATGCAATTCGAATTGGTATCATTGATAAGTAAGCTTTTAGTTCGATCGTCAAATTCTTTTTTTATCTATACTAACAGAATGAAAAAAATATAGGTGTACAAAGAGAAAGCACAAAGTTGTACTCTAAAATATTAATGAGAAAAAAAAAACATATTCAATTGTGTATACATATTTCTTCTTTTTTTTTTTTCGATCGACAAGAAACAGAGAGATATGCATGCGTATGTCATGTTCATTTCCTTTTCCTTCCTTCGTCATCATTTATCTAACGGTTCGATTATTGAGCTGGACTGACGGTCGTACATATAATAATAATATAGTGATTGATTTAGAAAAAAAAAATCGAGAGAGAAAAAGAGATCGTCACATCATACATACATACTTACTCCTATATTTCGGATGTCAATTATTTGGCAGTGTATGTTTTATTTTTTTGTTATTGTTTTGATTTCAATTGAATTTATATTTTAGGCGATCCTCAAACTCCTAATAATCATGTTCCTACAAGTGTTCTATCTCCAACAATAATCAATACAAATCCGACAACAACAACAGCAGCAACAACCATAACGACAACACCAACATTAATTACATCAACATCATCATTATTAAAAAATGAACATATTGATGAATATCCTCACATTGATCTTAATCTAAATTTTCATCATCATAATCATCTTATTCAACAACGTTTATCATTAGATCAAAATGATGATGATGATGATGGTGATGACGATGATGATGATACAAATAATCAAAATATTAATAGAAACAGTGAAATATCAAATCGGTAAAAAAAAAACAAAGAATTTGCTTTTTTTTTTAGAAATATTTTATCAAATTTATTTTTTTCTTACATTTATTTAGTATTCAAACAACATGTTTTCGTGATCGTGAAATTCATAATCGTCTAGAAAAACATCGGTAGGTAGCGCCATCTTTTATTCAAATTAATAAATAAACTTATAAGAAAAATGAAAATTAAATTCTTTTTATTTCATAAATCTCAAGAAAAAGAATAAAAATATAAATAGAAAATTATTATTGGTTTTGTTTTGTCATCAAATAAAATGATAGTCGAGTTTTAGAGTTAGAGTATATAATCACTATCTTTTGTTTTTTATTTTTTTTCTTATGGTATCTCCAAAAGAAGCTAGAAGGTATTTTTGAAATTCAAAACTAAAAGAAAAAAAAAAACAAAAATTAAAATATATGTTTTTAATTTTCGTTTTAGACGAGCTCATTTAAAAGATTGCTTTGATAGTCTCAAAGCAGAAGTTCCATGTCAACGTGATCGAAAAATTACAAATCTTCAAGTACTTAATTTAGCTATTAAATATATTCAGGTATGAAAAAACAAAATTCAGCATGATCTAAGTTTAGAATAATCATAGATTTTATATTTAATATTTCATAAACTATTTTTATCTATTGCAACACGGAGTGTATGTACCTAGACAGAACCTGAAAATAATTTATGAATCGATTCGATATAATATAAATGAATGTTGAATTGACACTCGATTTAATCATAATATTATTTTTATGCTTAAATATTTTTGGTATCATCAAAAACAAATATATTTTTTTCTGAGTATTCTTTTATTAGAAATTTTTGTTGAAGGGAACTATTTATTTTGCTTTGTGTATATCTACAACCCTAGATAAATTAGAATAATGTTGTATTCATCAGATTATTGTCTATAGTCTTTAGCAAATGAAAGGTTACAGATCAATCCATTGATCTATTTAGTTTTTATTGACAATACAATCACAGCATACTCATTTTTCATCCCACCAAAATTATCTTATTACTCATTTTTGCACGTCTGTTCTAAGTTGAATCGTTCTCTATGATACATAATTCAATGGAACTAATAGCGCTCTACATAACAAGTATTTTTGTTTTTCATAGTTTCCCGTTGAGTTGTATTGGTTGTCTCCTATGTCTACATCAATCACAAATCGACTTTCTTGTACGATCTTATTCATGCATTGAAGAAGGTATAAAAATTTTTTAATAATATAAATTTATGAGGAATCTTTTTCCATGAAAAGCACTTATATTTGAAACTAAAAATAGTAATCCTAGCAGCAGCCAAAGCGTAGATCTCATTAAATCCATGAGCAATTTTTTTGCGCCATGTCTGTGTAGATAGGCGATAAAACTTCTGCAATGCATGAATAAGATCGTACGGTCGAGTTGACTTGAGACTGATGTAGACATAGGAGATGACCTATGTAAGTTCTTAACATGATATATTAATTAAAAGTAGAATAAATCATACAACTTATAGTGCTCTTATTAATGATATATTGAACAATCAAGTTGACTAAGCATGATATGAAAAAAAGAAAGGATTTTTTTTTTTAATCCACACTTAAAGATCAGACTACGATAAAAAGTACTTCTTATGTAGAATGTAATTTTTTCTATTGGGTCACGTATCAGGGAGCAAATTTCAACTTTGAATAGGGTCGTAAAAATAAGTCATGTCAATAAAACATTAATTAATTGATCTGAAATTATTTTACTAGAACCAATAGATTGTAATTTGATGAAAATCTAATTTTTTTAGATATATCTAAAAACAAAATAAAACTATTATTTACCGGTTGAAGAATTTTACAAAGACAAACTTTTTTAAAATTATAATCATTAGACTGAAAAGTTTGTTCATCAATAAATATCATAGAATAAGATATTATGTAGAACGTTCGAGATAGTAGATTACAGTCTAATCAAGTTTATCTCTAAAATAATTAGGAAAATCTTGTCACTGACAAGGATAGATCTTCTTTCATTGTATATAACAAATTGTATTCCAACATTAAAAGAGAAATCATATAAATAAATATCGTATGACTCATGAGAGATCTATACTAACACAAAAACACAATTATTTATTTTAATTGAAACTCTCAAAATATTCTAAAGACTAGTCGATCTATCTGTTGGCATAATTTCATTTCGAAAGAAACTTAACTGTGTACGATCTGAAATTCATTAAAGTAGTTGTAACATTGTTAAGATCATCTGAGACATGTGTTAATAGCAGAATACAAACAATTGAAAAAAGACTATCTTACATCTTCAGAGCTATTGTCAGACTCCAACTAAAAAATTTCGTTGAAATTATGAGGACGGTCTACATCGAAAATTTTTAGGAATAAGCCATCGGTAGATATCCTATTAGGTTTTTTGAGTAAAAACGATGTGTATTAGTTGGAAAATTTTCCATCGTAAATAGTAAACATTTTGGTCACTCCGAAGATAAGAGATAATTTTTGTTTTTTGTATTAGGCGACTAAGGCATCCTGAATATTTGTTAGTTGACTAGAGCTCGTTGCCTGTAAAACTTTCGGATCTGAGACTAATCCAATAAATTTCTGCTTTTCATTGAAAGAAAAATTATTTTTATTTTTTGATAAATTCAAATATTTGTTTTATTTAGACTTTAACACGAAAAGAACGTGAATATGAACAAGAAATAACTTCATTAACATCACGTAGTATTGAATTACAAAATCGTCTTGGTTGTCTTAAAACTGAATTAAATTCCGAAGGACATAATGTTGATACATGGCTTGAATCATGTTCTGATATTGATTATTCAACATCAACACGTACAGCTTCTGAAGCTGAAATGTATCGAACATTTGATGATGATGATGAACTTGATCAAAATTCTCAAATAAATAAAAAATCTACTGATTTAATAACAAATAATAATCATAATGGAACAAAAACAAATTCATGTAAATATTGTTAATTATGGTTTTTTGTTTGTTTTGTCTAATGTTTATAAAACAAAGAAGAAGAGAAAAGATTTTCTCTATAAATTAAATAATTTTTTTTTTTGTTTAGATTTAATCGATCCAAAAACATTAGTAAACAATCGAAAATCAACAACTCGTCAAAGACCAAGACCATCAAAACGAAAATTACAATCGATTCCAACAACGAATTTATTACATACTTTATCAACATCAATACCAATCAATAATAATAATAATAATACTATTAATAATCATAATACATCTCGTTCAGAAAATTTACTTGATTTTAATGTTGCTAGACATCTTCATCTTAATGAACCATGTAATTTATTAACAAATATTAATACAAGAACAAAAGATTCATTATCATTAACACCAATAACTGATATTCGATATGATATTGTTGATATGTTTACGAAAGGCACAACTTCACATTTACTACAACAACAACAACAACAACAGCAACAAATTTCACCATTACCGTCCATTGCCAGTCTTATGAATAGACATTCATCCCAACCATCACCGATTGTTTCACCAACAAAACAAACTATTGGTATTAATACAGATCCATTAACAACATCGACAACTAATATTCTTCATCAATCTGTTGCGACATCATGATGATGTTATTATTTTTCTTCTTCTTTTTTTCTTCTTTTCTTTTTTTTTTGTTTTTTTTCTTCTTGGCTTGTCTTCTAATGTTTTAATGCCTTTTTCTTTCGTTTTTTTTTCAAGTATATCAGTGAGCCATCAGAAAAATAAAATGAACTGTAATTATATAAAAAACAAGAACAGATTAACATGGCTATTTCATTTTTAAAATTTTCCATGAAAATCTATGTAGCATATAAGACTACGCTAAGTAAAAGAAGCACGAGAAGAAAAAGAAAAAGTGCACTGGCCGGGAATCGGACCCGGGTCGCCCGCGTGGCAGGCGAGCATTCTACCACTGAACCACCAGTGCTTGATATTGGCTGGCATAGATTTTATTTTTATATGAAACCAAAAAGGGAACGTGATGAATCAATTAGAAATAATAATTCATAATAATCTTTTATTGTAAATCAATAATACTTTAATTTTTACTTAAAAATTAAAAAAAAAAATTTCGTAATAAAAATAGACGAGGAATATTTGATTTTGTCACACACTTTAAAAGGTAAATTTTCTCGTAATAATTTTGATGAATAAGAATCTGTTACAATGAATTAACGATATAATTTATGACATTCGGATATAGTTCAAGTTGGTATCGTTTCAATGTGATTTGATGAAAATTTATATAATACAAGATATTTCATAAGTTTTGCTATTTAAAAAAATTAGTTTATATAAAAACAAAGATAAATCGCTCATTAAATATTTATTTAGAAGAACTTTGAGTACTCATATCTATTTTTTCAATCATATACTGTTGAATATCATCTTATTTTGTCATTATAAAAACATATTCATGAGCATGTGATGAAAATTTTTTCCGAAATTGAGCAACAAATTGTACTATGAACCTTTTTGTTTTGAAATGTACAGAAACACAATTGAAAATAATTGCATCATATAATATTATAACTAAGTCTATATCAGTTTTCGAAAACTTTATGAACTATTGGTTGCTAAAAAATAATTTTGTTTTATTGTCTTGTCTTTGAAACGCATGATATACAAAATTGATAGATTTGAAAAAATAAAACTTTCATTAGAAGTTATTTCTACTTACATGCAAATACATTTTAGTAAGAGTTTAAAGCAGCATATATATCGACGAAACTGTTTACTAGTGAGTTAAATACTTTTTACAAATTTGAACATAGCTTGTTAGATGAGATGCTAAACTATTGAATGAATCCGATAGCGACCATTCGGAGATAACAGAAGAAATGAGACATATCATCTATATTGTTTTGTAAGCTTTATCCCATGAAAGATCGAACAATATACTTAGAGTCGATGTAAACGAATTCATTGGTTATATTATTTTAAAACAAATTATGTCTCAAGTATATATAATGTTAAAAATAATATTTTCATATATCGTTTTTTCTTTTATATTATCAATCAATTTTAAAAACAAAAGATACTACTCTTGTAAAAGGAAAAAGTGCCAATTTTCAAAGTTTTCTACTCTGTCTTTTCTTCTAATGGATACTGAACTGCTAAAACTACATGGCGTGAAAAGAAATACATTTGAGCGGGGTGTGGATGTGGATAAAGTTGTTCTCAGAAAACACATGACACTCACATCCTACTCATACCATTAGCATATGGACGAGTTGAACATTCCATTCGTGCAGTGATTTTTATTAGTGGCTCTTTTGAAACCCGTCATCAGAAGTGAAAGATTAAAAAAAAATCTTTGATATATAATTTGATGCAACTTTATCTCCTCTTTCGAATGATGAAAATCCCAACTCTCTATCTTGTTTCTATCAAAAGTTATTCAAAAAAAAATATCCGTTCATCCTTTTTCTTAAATAGACATTAGTATATGAAAAATATTTTGTACGTTAAAGATGAAAATTATTGATTGAAAATGTAATCACATTGTCAAAGAGAAAAAAAGCAGATGCCTTTTTTTTTTAGTGGAAAGAGAAAAATGAATATTGATCAAAGGCATAGCTTTTCTGCTCTGCAGTAATTGACATTTGACGAAGAGAAAGATTCATTTTATTGAACACCATCAATAGGCTTCTCTCATCATGTGACTTAAAAATGAACCGATGTTGGAAATTTTACGATTGGAACAAACAACAGGATTTCATCAATAATTCTTGTCAAAAAAAAACAAAAGAATAAGAGAGAAAGTTGGAAGACCATTTGATATAAATCCATGGAGATATTTGTTCATCTACATTTTAAAAAAATGTCTACTAAATACTGATACAGAAAATTATATTGCCTTTTGAAAAAAGATGATGAACAACAAAAAAAAATGACCAAATATTTATCCAGTTGTGTGTATTCCTTAATAGCACTATCTGATTTGTTTATAAGCTATTAATTAAAAAAGAAAAAAAAAATATCTGGTTAGTTAATTCTAGAATAATTTAACAAGATGATATTTTGAATAAAGAGATAGAGTTCGACACACTTCATCTAGCATCATACATGACATTTTGCATAATCAGTTACAAATAACTAAAGCCTGTTCGAGATGAGTGCTAAATTTACTTTCATCGGACCAACGAGACAAACTTGTTCAGGTCGTTAAGAATTTTTGACTTGTTGTTCTACGGAAGGAGACGACGTTCTTTTTTGAATTATCCATTCACCATTATCAATCGAAATCAAAACAATCATTATGATATTGGAAACAAGCTGATTCATTACTATCAACAAAACTGAGAGAAAAAACTCCATTGACAAAGTTTTATATTCATTTTTCTGGGATTATAGTGGAATAATTCTGAAACAATTTGTATCAATGATAGTAACAACCACGAAAATATAATGCGCACATCTTTTGATAAAAGTACTTCATCCAGATATTAGAACGAGGTTTAATTTTGGTTGATGTCATTTTGTAATATGGCAATGCTTCACTGCATATATTACACTTCGTTTTTTATATTACTCATGATTTTAAACGATTAAATTAGAGTAAGGCATTACAATGATTGAAGTTGATCATTAAAACAGCTATACAAATGTTTCCAGAAGTTCGATAAAAACATATTGTGACAGAGAGACGATGCTTCGAAAAAAGAAAACATGCATTAATAATTATAACTCATCTTTTTTTTTCTAAATAAAATGAGTTTTAGTAATAATATTTAACATCATCTTCATTTCCTTAATCTTCTGTATTTATTCAATTCTTTTTTCTGTTGATTTTCTGATTCTAAATATATTCTATTTTAAGTGTTAATTCAAAAACTACTAAATTGACAAACACTTGTCTTTTCATCATCTATTCTTCAACGATTTATTTCTACAAGTTTATTTCATTTTGATTTAGACAAAGAATTTCTTCATCGTGATAGAAAACAAAATAATTCTAATATGACATTGAATTTTACACCTGAAAATTATAATCGAATTAAATCTCTTCTTGCTATCTATCCTGATAGACATAAAACAGCAACTATTATTCCTTTACTTGATCTTATTCAGCAATAACACAATGATTGGTTACCTTAATCAGCAATGATATAAAGTTGCTGAAATTTATAAAATAGTTTTAATGTGTGTTTATGAAGTAAAACTATATAATTCTCAGTTAAAAAAAAACATTTTACAAAATCATAGGATTAAGTAGCAACACTTTACACAATGTTGAATCGAAATCTAATTAAAAAATATCATATTCAGGTATGTATAATAACATCAAGTTGTTTGTATAATTCTAATGGAATATTAAAAATAATTTGAAGGTAAATTAGGTATTCATATTGGCCAAACAAGATCTGATGATTTATTTAAATTATCTGAAGCTGAATATCTTGATGTATATGTTAATGCATTAATGTTATCAATTATTGATGATTATTGTGAATACTTAACAGAACAAGATATTAAGTCACATTTTCGATGATATTAAGAAAGGAATAAAACCAAACATTATGCAGCTGAACCATTTCATGGACTTATATCATTAACTGAACTTCCGAAAGAACTTAATTTTTAAATTACTAAAAAGAACTTCAATAGTTTTATAACCCTAATTTTGCAGAATGTGTGTACAAATACAATGAATTAGATGATAGAAGATTTTTATTAATCTCAAAAAGTTTCGATGATTTTTGTCACTATCTGCTTGAAAAATATGCTTCTATTTTCAGCAAAAACAGCAAATTCTTTTTTTCTGTTTATGTTTTTCTGATCATACATGCCAGAATTTTCGAAGTGACTTGATTGTAGTCAATTTCTTTTTTCTGGTTTCAAAGAGCATTTAAAGTTGCAATGCCCGTTTTTTTAACTAAGTTTTTTTTATGGTAATACAAAAAAAGCACTTCTATAAAGAGATGCCTATTTTTGACAGCTTTTCGAATTATCGCACTTCTCATTCTTTTTTTGCTGAATAAAAGTTACGAATTTATAAGCAAGAATTCTGTCAAGCACTGCAGTCTAGTAAGCTCTTTCAAATAAGACAATTAAAATATATAAAATGAGGGACCACAGAGAATTTCGAGTTGTCAAATGAACTGTTGTTGACACTTATTCTCTATAACTCTAGTATATCCTGAGAAGTTCCATGTGATTTAAAACGCACCTCGTCCAAGATCGATTATTGAAGAAGGTTTAACGATAGTAGAAAAATATAAACAATTGCAATACTAAAACGATGAATATTTTCAATTTCCTTTTTTTGGTTTTCACTTCTAATTGAATATACTCTTTTCTCAATTTTATCACTGCAAAAATTAGAATACATTTTAAAAAAATATCGATTTTCTGCTCATTTCATTGATTTAATCATATTCATTAGAGTATTTTTTTATCACAACTCATTGATCAACAAATTTTCAAAAAAAATTTCAATTAAAAGATGTTTTCATACTAATCAGAAATGCTGTAATTCGACTTCACATTGTACAAATTTTAAAATATTTAATTTTCATCTATGACGAAAAACTTAGCCGGTAAATTGTGACGATTGAAAGTATGACTTATACTTTATTCGTTTGTTGTTTATTTCTTGGCATGTTATTCGTAACTGTATGAGTTTCATAAGACTGAATAATCCGAATGCATATACTCAAATATTTATTTAAAAAAAAATTCTTTTATTTTTTAATCATCAACTTTTGCATGGTGAAATAATCAATCAACGAACGTTCATTTTTTTCTTTCTCATTGATATCGATTTCTGTTGACAGATTGAAGTACTTTGAAGGGAAAAATTCAAGTGTTTATTTTATTCAATATTTTTTAATAAAACAATAACAAAATTTATCTTTTACTTTTGCAAAGTTTATTTCATTTACTACTTCAAATGTTCTTTTCTACGTGGATTCTATTCTTACTAATATTATTTAATATATCATTAGCAGATCATTATAAAGGTGGTACTCTATCATGGAAACCAACAGATCCATATTCTTTAACGAGTCCTGTTGAGATTATAATAACAGAACGACATTCATGGACACTCACTAGATATCAATGTAATAATAATATTATTAATACATTAGGTACTTACAATGATACACAAAATGCAACAACAGCTACAATTATTTGTATAAGTTCAGCAGCTGCATGCTTATCATCATTTTTTCAAACTATTAATTCCCCTTTATATTGTACTGATTTTTCAACAGTACTTCAAATATCTTCAGGAACTTATTATACAAAACAAAATTTAGCATTAAATTCTATAATTGATATTGCTTCAAGAGGTGCATCTTGGGCAAGTGAAACTTTAACTAACGACTGGTCACTTGTTAGTCATATTGATTTAACACCTATTTCTGGTAAAATTAATACATCACCTGGTATGTTGTGTCTCTTGTGAGTATTCAAATCTATATATATGTATGAATTTTATTTTCAGTAACAGGGTCATTACCAATTTTTCAACTTTATGTTAATGCATTATCTGTTATACAAATACTTGCAGCTGATTGGGATTATGATCAAATTGTTCGATGTCGTTGGTCATATCAATATTCATTAGATGAATGTGGAAGCACATGTTTTGATCTACCTAATGCTCAATTAAATCCAGTAGATTGTGCTATTACATGGACACCTGTTCTTCGATCTGAAGATATAGCTAATGGTCTAACTGAATCAACATATGTAGTTGCAATAACAGCTGAAGATTTTGTTAATGCATCAAGTACTACACCTCTTAGTTCAGTACCACATCAAATATTGGTTCATGTTTCTTATAAACCTGCCAATGCTTGTTCAAGTAGACCTAGTATCACAGGTTTGCGTCGACGTAATCTAGCATGCTATGGTAAAAATTAATTCTTATAGAAAATTGGATTTTATTGTTTTATACTTTTAGCTTTATCAGTTGGTTACACAATTGATTTTATTATTCTGAGTACAGTAACTTGTACGAACGATTCAATCGTTGAGTTTATCTCAACATCACCATTCGATATATTCAAAACAGATTTCTATCAAGAAGGCAATTATACATGGGGTGTCAATGTTACGTGGACTCCACTTAGTGATCAAACAGATAAGTATATGAAATTAACAAAGATTTTCCTAACACTTTTTATTCTAATATTAGGTCTTCAACCATTTTGTATAGCAGCTGTGGATAACAATGGTCAAACAAGTAATCAATATTGTGTAATGATTGCTGTAGGCGTTAGCAATCCGTATATAATTGCCCCATCATTTGTTCAAAGTACAGCCTCACCTGTTGGTACTGTTATGGCTACACAATCGCGTTTTAGTATTCAAAGTAAGAATTTTTTAACAGTTTCATTTTGGAGACGTATTGAGTTTTATATATAATGAAATGAAAATTACTTCCTTTATTTTATAGCATCATTACCACTAAGAAGAACAAGGCTTAATGGTACCTATATCTATATATATCGAATGGGTTATGGGAATCCGGTTTATACCATTGATTGCAAATATTCACCGGATGTTTACTTTATAAACACAACGATGGTTTTTTTCATTCAGAATCCATCATGGACCTTGGGTGCTACATATTACGTAATAATGACTGAGGGTGTAGCTACTGCTGATCAATATTGTGGCGTTGAAGCTGGTTCTTTTTATGGCAAGATATTTTGAAAGAAAACCTTAAATCTCTATTGATTTCTATTTTTTAAGGTTATAACGCCTGGAGATTTACAATATGGAATCCAGCGATTTCATCAACAACGACCCCTTCCACTACAACAACGACAGCAACGACACACACAGTGACTACTCGAGTAAATGTTTACTTATTTATTTTCTATTAGCGTTATGAAAGATAAAAAGTTAACTTAAATGAGGTGAAAAGGAAAAGTTTTTTTTGTCATACATAAGTAAGTAAACCAGTCGTTAATGTGATGAAGGAAAAAAATTCCTAATTTAATGAATTTGAATTTGATAGAATGGGGTCTAAATCATTGACAGTCTAAAAGATTTTTTCAGAAACAGATATATTAATATTGTTCGATTTCTTGAAAATTTATTCTATCATAAAGACAAGTGTTAAAGTCATCAGTAATTGATTTGGTGTCAAATTAAAGCAGAATCATACTACAATATCAAAAATAGAGTTGAAAGGCTTTTCAGTAATAAAACAGCTTAAAAACATTCACTAATCTATCGTAAAAATTTTCTTCTGGATGAATCATACGACTTATGTGAATAATTTTATCTCACCTGGTAAAATCACGAGGTTTGAATCATCGATTGAGTTGACTTTTCTCTATAAGTGGAGTCCGATTAGACTAATAGAAAACTTGCTCGTTTTATCCATATGTCGTGTCCTCCTTGAGTTATTGCTGTCGTACCATTTTTTTAAACTCTGGGAAAGTATTCATGAAAAATGCGAATGACAATATTGCAATTTGAAATTTCACCCGTAGACAATTTTTCTGATCATAAAACAACGAAAAAGAACAAAAGATGAGAAAACATAGTTTTTGAGATTCGATATTTCAAGAAGAACATATTCTTTCAGCAAAATCCTAATGATCAGGAAACTTGTCTATGGTCAACATTTCAGATTGAAATATTGTCATTCGATTTTTTCATGAATACTTTGCCAGAGTCTTTAAAAACATTTAGCATAACACTACCACCTCAGAAAGGATAGCCCATGAAGATGAAACAAATGCAGTGTCTATTAGTCTCATCAGATTCTACTTAAGAAAAAATCTAAGTTCGAGCGATGGAACCTTTTCTCATCACTAATATTTAAAGTGAAATATTCATGAGTATATATTTTCAGAGTAGATCTTTATAATTTTTTGAATCATAAAGCAAAGGTCTGCATATACATGAATACAATATAACTCGAAGTGTGTCGATGTTTATGAGTACCGCCGCATAAATCTGAGGTATTATGAATAAACGTGCAGCATGGAATGTCTTTGCCAATATTTTTCAAGTTTATCTTACTTGAAATATACAAGTTCTCGTGATAGAAAAACAGTAAACAATTACACTAATCCAAGTCCATTAACATTAAATGGGTGTTTCCATATTTTCTTAATTAAATAAATAAACCTCCTTTTCGTGTAGTTTCTGGGTACTACAACATATAATACACATTATACAACAACTGGTATTCCAGCTTATACAACATCAACAACAACTTCAACAACATCGACAACATCAACTTCAGCGACAACAACAACAACAACATCGGCTACTACTAGTAGGTTAACAAAAAAAAATTTCTAATAAATGTTCATAGGAAATTTGTTTGTGTTTAGCTACAACATCAACGACTACAACAACAGAATATAATCCTGATGCAGATGTCATTTATCCAAAAGATATGGAACGTGCATGTTTACAACCAGTAACAATTGCAACAGCAATTGTAACTATTGCTGTTATTCCACTTCATTTTTTTGGAATGATAACTCTCTTCGTAAAAATGAATTCTCATTATCAAAATGGAATTTTACGAGCTAGAACTGCACGTCGTAGAGTTTTACGAGAAGCGCTTGCCCTTGAAGAACAAGAAACATTAGTCTGAAACATATGTACGTGAATATTTTTTTTGGATGGATCTGTGTGTATGCATTTTTTTCATTGGCAAAACTTTTAAGAAAAGAAGAAAAGAAAACTAAATATGAAAATGTAATTTCCATAAGTTCATCTAAAGCAAAATTAGCACCTATATCAATTGATACTTGAACAACACTATTATAATTAATAAAATGGGAAAAAAGCTATCAATAATGCATTTTTATAATATAGTATTTCATTGCATATCTTTTATATTGCTTGTTACATTGTGAAGAATTATACTCGTAATAAAGAAAATCTTAAAATTTCAACTATTGCTACAACCAAGACTTTTAATATTTCATTGCTATTCATATGCATTCTGTCCAGCAGATGGAAAGGAAAGATAAAATGACGGAATCGAAGAACATAAATCTGAATACTCAATTTTTAGCTTTTTTTCGTTCAAAATCCATCTTGTGCTGTATTAAGTTCGACGACAATGACAATGATGTTACAATTCGACTTTAGCGTCTTTTTCTGCTTGTAGAGAAACATATTTCATGATCATTGGTATTCCTTCTCCGACACTCGATTGCTAGGATCTAGTGGAAGGAGAACCCACAAACCTCGATTTATACATATATTCACTATCTCCTTCGAAAATATATTGGATAGCCTATAAACAACTAGGCATTAAGAAATTTAAAATGTTTCCTCTTCATTTCACTAAATAGGTTGATATTTTTAACTAGTAATAGAACTTTACTGAAAATGTTTTTTCATGCAGATAATGTAGATAAATACTACAATTAAGTATTATGGTTATCTTCATGAAAGAAACTTCACCTGCTGTCAAATGAGAAAACAAATATTACGAATAATACTACGTTGATATATATAATAAAAATTTTCAGAACTACTTTGTTCAAATGCTGAAGTTCGTGTTCAACAACTAAAATGCATGATTAAAATCTTTCAAGTACCCTATAAGCTCAGAAAATTTTCTTTATGTACATTGATGTAGTATTATTTATAAAGTTTGTTTTGATTTCTTCTTGCCATTTCTTCAGATGACAGCTGACAATTATCAACAGAATACTTTGCATGTATTGTTCTTATTTGACAACAGGTAAAGTTTCTTTTGTGAGACCAACCATCATGTCTCATAGTAGTATTTACTTACATTATCCATATGAAAAAATGGTGGATGTGTTGATGTGGGTTTGGGTGTGATGTAAATGTTTGTCTCTTGAGTAATACGAGCTCATTCCAGCACACACACTTACACCTACACCTACACAAGAAAATGATGTTACTAGCAAGTTCAGCATCGTCAAAAACGTGTATTTGTATGTGAAATATGCGCTCATTTCGCATGTTAAACCACATGCTCTTTATCACAATGTAAAAGTTGTCATGTTTCAAAATAAAACTCGAAAGATATAAAAAATTTTGATGGATAAAACGACTCTTGGACCACATTTTGGTATATATGTGAGACTGTCTTTATGGAAACTATGGGAACAACGTATTGAAAAAGATATTCGTTAGAAAAGATACATAGAAAATTTTTCTTATTTCAATGGCTATCACACAACCAGACGATTCCTAAATTCCTCTATCAAATAACAAAAAATTTTTGCTCAGTAGCTATCAACAGTCAACAGTTATTCAAAAATGATGGCTTGCATTTAAAAATCCCACAATACATTAACACAGTATAGCTTGTTTATCAGTTGCAATCATTTAAGATGACGCCAACGTTGTTTGCATTGTGGTTGGCGACAATGATATCGGCTTTGCCACCTCCATTAACATCATCAGCTACTACAAAAAATGGACCAGAGCCACTGCCGGTTGAATAGATTACTTGAGTAGCAAACGTGCCATTGCCTCTATTCAGAAAAACACCGACGTTGCCCAAGCCTGAGTTCGCGGCAATAACATCGACATAACTATCTCCATTGACATCGGCAGTTGCCACAGAATATGGAGCAGAGCTGCTGCCAGTTGAATAGGTTACTTGAGTAGCAAATGTGCCATTGCCTGTGTTCAGGAGAACACCGATGTTATTTGCACCTTGATTTGAGACAATAATGTCGATATTGCTGTCACCATTGACATCGGCAGCTACCAGCGAACATGGGAAACTGCTAGCTAAGTATGTCACTTGTGCGGCAAATGTGCCATTGCCTCTGTTCAGGAGAACACCGACATTGTTCGCACCAAAGTTTGCCACAATAATATCGACGCTACCGTCTCCATTGACATCGGCTGCTGCTACAGAAAGTGGGTAAGAGCCACTTGAATAAGTCACCTGAGCAGCAAACGTGCCATTCCCATTGTTGAGGAGAACACCAACTTTATTTGTATTACTGTTTGCTACAATAATATCAGGTTTACCGTCTCCATTGACATCGGCTGCTGCTACACAATATGGAGCAGAACTACTGCCAGTTGAATAGGTTACTTGAGTAGAAAACGTGCCGTTGCCTCTATTCAGAAGAACACCAATGTTGTTTGCACCTTGATTTGCAGCAATAATGTCTTTGTAGCCGTCTCCATTGACATCGGCTGTTGTCACATAAACCGGATTCGAATCAGTTGAATAGGTTACTTGAGCCGCAAACGTGCCGTTGCCTTTATTCAAAAGAACACCGGTGCTGTTTGCGCCTTGATTTGCGACAATAATGTCGTCGTAGCCATCCCCATTGACATCGGCTGCTGCCACAGAATTCGGGTTAGAGCTAACTGAATAGGTGGTTTGTGCCAAGAATCTATAGCATGAAGCTATTACGAAATAGAAAAAATGTTATGAACATTTGTATAATTGGGACAAAAATCTGTCTCGTCAGAGCCTTTTTGCTTTCAAGCAATGTAACTCTGACTATCGTTGATACGGGACTACGCAAATAGATAATGTCGTCAATCTTGAACAATTTACATTTTCTTAATCATACGAAGAGATATACTTTTCCTTTCTCTTATACAATATGCTCTAGAATACATTTTTTCAGAAAACGATAATGTAGTGCCCAATCCTGACTATTCTGCAAACAACTATTTCCTCGATTGAAAAATCATTATAACTGTTGAAGTGTTCTCTTATTTCGTGATGCTACTTTCAGTGTTTTTCCATTGATCAGAAACGGAACATTATCTTAGCTTTACTCAACCTAGCAAATGATGTAAGATTTGCATGGACTGAATCCGCGATTTTTCCTTAGACATAATCAATAGGATAATTTTTAGCTGTCCTCAGACGAAACCTGATCAGAAAGCTGTCTTAAAAAGAGTTTTAATTGAACCGATATGTATATTTGTTGAAGACATATGGTCGAGGATGAGCTTCACTTAATAATGTATACTTTGAGGAAATACAACAAAAACAGTACGGTCAAACAACATTAGGTTATGTCCAAAAGAAAATAGTTTGCCTGTCTACAACGATCGCTCGTTCATTCGTTTGTGGATATGCGTGAGGCTTATATCTATTCAAATGAACATTCTATCATATGTTCGTCATTTTCATCAGCTAAAAATGATATCTTTCTCATTCCATCTTTTTTGTCTACACTGTCCAATCAGTGTCCCAAAAAAAGTTCGCAAAAATTTTAAAAATCAATGATTGAAGGCGCAAAATCGAAGAAGGAAGTCAAAATTCTTTCTAAAGCTCAACTGTGGCACATCTTAGCTGAGTATCAATATCGACCTCTTATGAGTTGTTCACCAACTTCACGCTGAAAATGATTGATTTAAATCAATGAGAAATAAAATTTAAATCATTACAATCGTCCTAAATTGTTGCTCTTCCTTAGGTTAGGAAAAAAGCTCTGTAATATTCAAGATAATTGTCTTAATGTTTGATGTAAAGTTTCATTGTTTCGATTAGAAAATTTTTTCCTATTCATCGACACATCTCTAATAGAGCTCCCAACTGTTAGACACTGCAAATGTTGCCACCTGAATTTCTGTATACTCTACTTTGACAATAACTGAATAATCAAAACTCTAAGAGAGAACACATCAGATCATCCATTGTAGGAGGCATTTGGCAAAAAATAAATTTTTGATTTATTTTGCGCATTCAAATTATGAATGTGTGAAACTATCAAAATAAAAATCTTAATTGCTAATATTCTTCCTTGAAAAGTTAGTCAATACCGACTTTTGAGAATCCATACAATCATGATTAGTGTTATTATTAGCTGCTTCAAAAGATTCCCGATGACAATCAATGGTTAATTTGTTATTTAAAGGATTGGATTGAAGATTTTTTTTTTCGACTATCAATCATCAATTTGATTAATGTTTTGACTCAATATTAAGAGAATATATTCTTGTCTGATTGCTATTAAGGATTTCATACAGATATGCTTATCTGCTGCAACTTCTTTAAATTATTTTTAATAAAAAACAACAAAACAAAAGAGCATATAGTAATGTATCTATTTTTCTATCTTTACTCCCTTATTACTCTTTTTTCATTGGTCCTTCATATCACTATGCTTTCTGTCTCTTTCTTCAAGATATTTCTATTATTGTTTTTATTTACTTTCATGATCTTCTAATAAGTGTGAACTAATAATCATTATAATTATATTGGTAGCAAAATGTCAAATGATTTATATTAATGATGTTACTTCTGACGTTTAAATATCTTCATTATTTTTTCTATCATCATGTAAGAACTTCTGAATGTTACATACACTAGCATAATAAAATAAAATGTACTATGAACAAATAAATGAAATGCCTTTTCTTATTGAGTACTTTTCACACTGACAGAATTTCTTGACTGATGAAATTAAAAGCACAAATTGATCCAGTATAACTTCTTTTACGTATTTCAGTTGTCTGAATATTCCTAAATTTAAGCGAATAATAATACAAATGCTATCTTACTTGTTGTTGTTGTTACTGATGTGGACGTTGTTGTTGTTGTTGACGTGGATGCTGTTGTTGTAGTCACTGTCGTTATTGTGGTAGTTGTTGTTGTAGTTGCTGTTGTTATTGTTATTGTTGTTGTTATCACTGTCGATGTAAATGTTGTTGTTGTTGCTTTTGCTGTTGACTCTTTTGATATTATGATCAAGGGAACAACGACTGCAGCAACGATCACGCCAATAATACCAACAAGAATAAGTAGCAACAGTAATAAAGAGACGAGTGAACATCGACAACAAATATAATTACAATATCTAAGTGGAAAATTTTGATAGTTATTATTGGAAAAGAATACTAAATAATTACTTACCCTTTCTTTTTGTTTCTATTGGACTTTGAATCATGACAATCCTTATAATCTGTTGCATTTGACCATAAACCAAATTCCTGAATTAATTGAACGAAGGAATTTAGACAAAAGAAAAAGAATAAATAGTTTCGCTTTGATTTAAGCTTAATTATCAAATTAAGTTCATTTATTTGTAGAAATATTTTTTTTGTACAGTAGAATTTCAAATTACCCGACGTTTAGTTCCATTTGTTTTTATCGATGAATACTTGGTAGCTAAAGATGATCTTTGCTGATTATGTTCTCGCAGCTCTTTTGTTCGGTCACCTTTTCTTGTCGACAAATTTTTCTGTTGTGATAAGTTTTTCTCTTCATTATTATTTGCTCCTTGTTTGAGATATGACTACAATGATGCGAACAAAAAGGAAAAGATTTGAAGAACTGTTCAAAGTACAGACCAATTAAATCTACATATAAGATCTTATTGTATCTAATTCGATTATTGAATGACTTGAAAACAAAATAAAAAATGATGTTTTGAACAGCAAAACATTTAGACATGTAAATCGTTTGATAAATCACATTCTGCACACACTTTCTAACTCAACAGACATCGGTTTGATAATATTTCAATTTACACAATTTTGAACGTATAGAACTATCAAGTCCATGCAGTTTTAGATACAAACATTTCTTCGTCTGCATTGAAACAGATTCATAATGTTCAAACATTCAATAGAGGTTTTAATTGTTTCTATGCTACAATAGACTATGGTAAACTGCTACTCCCTAGGCATTCAGGATGTGTGTATGAAAAGAAGATTCACAATCACATTCATCCAAACCATATATCGACGCGCACAATCATATTCACACTCTGGTCAGTTTCTTATCTTATATACTGTATAAGCGCATGAAAATTACATGAGAAATCAAGCTGCTGAATTATATATAACATTGTAATTTCTTGAATTTTAAAGCTTTATTGTCTCTTTTTCTGGTGACATACATTTTCTTTAGCACGCATACCGTATAAGTGCAATATTTTCTCAGTTTGTTTTCGAAACAGCTCGTTAAATACCAACTTTTTTCTTGATAATACGTCAAAATGTAGTTTTCTTGATGCATTCGTACAACAGAAGAGTAAAGTTCTCTAGTTCAGCTGTCGCTTGAATTATGTTCATATAAATTCTGTTTCGAGAAATTACTTGTCATATATGGGTCAAGATTACTTGATCCATTAATCGAAGAGAGTACAGTGTAAAAAAATTCTATAAAAAATAATGTGTTTTGACTGAAAAACAATGCTTATTTATTTCAATCCAAATGCGATCTTCTCAATCAGAAGAGAATTTTATTCAACATTTACCTAAAACAACATCTGAAAACGTATACATGTTGCATACAAAAATATTAATTAGAGTAAGAATACTTTGTATATTCTTTCTATCAAACTTTTCGTGAAACTCGAATTGGATCATTTTTGAAGAAACTCATTGAAATTTTTGTATAAAATTCAATAACTAGCATCTTCTTTATATGACTATCTTACCTGAATTGATGACTGATAGTGCTGATTAATTGTTTTGGTACTAGCAATGTCTGTTCCACTACATAATGATTCGACAAAACTTTGACGAACAATAAGTTTTGAAGGATTATCCATGGTTGTCGCAAAGGAATTGAAGATTGGAGTAGTAGGGATCATCCCTTCTATCTTCTTCTTCTTTTTCTTCTTCGTCTTCTGCTTGGATATGACAGGACAGAATTTATCTTGATGATAACGAGGAGTCAAAGTCGTTGACATCTATGGAAACAAAAAGAAAATTTGAGAAATTCAAAATTTGAACAATCTGCACCGAGCATAATGTGTCTTCAGGATGGATGGAATTCTTTCTTGTAGAATGAATTCTTCTTTTTGTTGATCGGATAGTTGCATGGATAACACCAGGAGATCGACGTTTTTTTGTCAAAGAATCATATTGCTAGATCGAAATGACAAATAATTGCAAAAATCTAAAAAAATTCCTCTCACAATTCAATATTTCGAAGAAGGAAAACCCTAAAAAATCTCGACAAATATTCTTATGAGTGATGTGTTTTTCTTTATATTCCTCTCATTCGATCTTGTATTCTATGTTCATAAACTATGCTTTTTCTTTTCTGATGACACACTGTTAATTTCATTTTCGATTAGTAATAAGAACAAACATCTTCTTATGATTGATGATTATGATTGTCAACAAAACAAATCCAACGTGAAAAGTGAGTTGTTGGCTAAGCGAGAAGAAGAAGCTTTGAGCAGCTGTTCATCTTACTTCTAATAAACCATCAAATGCAAATATATGCGATCTGATCCTTATTTTAATATCATATGCCTCAAACTATTCAAAATTTTGCTGGATCAGAACTTTTTCTTTCAACAATTGTTTTGTCTTCCTACAAGTTTTATTTCAAAATATTGCTTTTTCGGAATTTCAATTTATCCATTTTTTTATATTAACTCGAAATAGTTCTAATAACAATAAACATAGAATTTAAAAAATAAACTCACTTGAAATGACGAATGATGACCTTGAGAATGAATTTTGTGAACAGAATATATCGGTGATGAATGACGACACGGAATATTGTGCATGCTTGTTTGTGAAGTTAACAATACTCGATAACTATCATCTGGTATTTTCTCGATATCTATTGGATTGATTTTCATAATAGTGCTATAATTCAAATTGGTGCTACTGTGATCAATAGGAAAATGAAAATTTGCATTTCAATTCACTGGCGCATAGCATTATATGTTGTCCACAAGAGAGAAACAGAATTATTGGATAATTAAAAAATCTTGCAAGCATCTTGAGAGTGAGAATATGTACGTGATATAAAGGCTTCTTGCTTGCAGATGTGAATTGTTCTGGTTTCATCAATCTAATTTAATATCAAAAAAAATAAATAAAAGGCATGCTTGTTTTTTTGCATTTATTGAAAAATAATACACTTTTCAATAAACAAACTTGCTATGCCAATGAGTGTGATTTGACATTGCTACTCGCCCTCGTCTGATCATAAAAGTGTATTGAGAAAGATCAAATTTTGTTTTTTCAATTATGTATGCCATAGGCGGAGAAAAATCGTAAGACGCTTACCCATGTAAAAAAAAAAAGTTAGTGTAAAAATCAGATTAATGTCGATTAAAAACTAATTAACATTCCATGCTTTAAACCGGCTTTTAATCATTTTGTTACTGATTATAATCAAAAAAAAAAATGTAAAATTTCATTAATTATTCTGATTAATTTCGATTTTTAACATTTCTTTTGAATCGTGTTTCACAAAATTTACAGATACTACATAGATATTTCTGAACCGTCAAACAGAAGAAAATAACGTTTTTCTTTTCTAAAAAAAAAAGTTGATTTTCCTTTTGGCAGTGATGAACATGCTTATCATGCATCGCTAAGTATGATCAGTAAATAGAACACTTTAACATGAAAAATCACGGAATGGAATGAAACTACTAGCAGATTGATTCTTAACGAAGCATCTACGTTGATAAAGAAAATAATTAAAGCTTTTCACTATTTTTTCATCAATGTAAAATAGGCTATGAATCTGTTTTAGATAATTTGAAAATGCTGCTTCTACAGAATTTAAATTGATTTAGATGATATTGTAATTTATTTTTAAGCAGGTAATTTTTGTTAATATTTCTTCACATTTTAAAATGTCTAGATGAAAAGAAAAAAATTTCTTTTGTAATTACATCTTTACATGCGTTCATTTGATTCATTCTAATTGATGACTTATGGCAAATTACTTGAAGATTACAGGTCTTGTTTTTTGATGTTTTCGTGCGTCCCGGATTTCTCCACAATTTTAAACACTAGAAAGCTGGACTTGGTGTCAAAATGAAGGCAAAAATCAGCTCTACACTTTCTCTTATTATCTATCAGCTTCAACATTCATAGGACTTTGTATATATTTGAAACGCTGCAAAGATTTTTTTCTATAATTCCATATATAAAAAAAAATCGATCGATCTTGAACACACTGGAAGTGCATCACATTTGTTGCAGATTAATCGAAATAAATTAAACGAGTCGGAGGACAGAAAATGTTTCTAAATTGTCAAAATGCATAGTGTCACAAAGAAACCTTTTTCTATTCTTATCAGTCTGTAAGCTTCTTTTTTATATATAGTACTGTTCTCACAAACTGATTAAAAAGAGAAGCAAACATTGTTTAATTTAATCAAAACGAAAAAGAATCCAGTGGTATACGCTTTATGGGCGATAGTAAATGTAGTTGTAATGATAGAAAATAGCTGGATTTTCTCATCAATGAAAACATTTAGTTTTGTTCTAATTAAATGTTCCTCTTTGAAAAAGAACAAAGAGGAAAATATTTTCAAAAAAACAGTATCTAAATTTGCGAATAAAATCAATAGGTAACAGACATAAAATAAATATATTCAGGTATGAACACAATCTCTTCCATTCGAAAAAAAAATGAAGATTTATGAGAAGAAATTGCTTACTTATTTACTCAGTCTGCTATAAAATATTAAATATGAAATGTGGGAAAAAAAACATGGTTTTCTATTGTTCGAGATAAATGGCTGATAAATACATAGAACAGCTCAAAGATCATATTTCCTTATTCGGTGTTAAAATATTCGAATGACTAACATTGTTCTAATAAAAAAAAACAACAACTTAGCAGAGAACAAGTCAAGATGAATTTTTCGCTTGATAATTTCCTACCTGCCAAGATATCAGATTAAAGTAAAACAACAAGAATTATGATACCTGAGAGAACAATATTATTACATTCAATTATGTGTTTTATTTTATTTTCTCATTTTTAGCTGTTCGTATCCATAAAGATGATTATTATCTGAATGTCAATGACTCATTTGGTAAAATTCACTTATTGGAAAGTGCACTGAGACTATTCAGTTGTAATCGAACGTCTGAAACTTTATTTTCTTTTGTTTCATAGCCAACTACAAATTTAACTGACTTTTAAGTTTCATCAACATTCTATGTTACTAAT